TTTAGAGTCTAGGGAAAAAGCTTTTGGCCTGGACACCACAGGCTTCCATCACTTGGAATTCCAAGTGCTGAACCCTGAGAATGTCCATGGTCCTTTTTCCAGAGGGGTCCACTGCACTGCCAATTTCTGTCCCTTCCAGCTCCAGAACTCCTGGGGCCGCAGCCTTGGGCTGTGAACCCACATGCTACACTGAATGATGCCATGGAAATGGTGTGGCACAGTAGCCCCGAGAGAGCCACTGCCAGGCTCCTGCTGTGAGGCAGGTTGGGAGTTGTATGATTCCAAGGCCTGCCTTGACATTCCTGTACCCAAAGTGTGGCAGTTGTGCTCTTGGGCCTACAGGCACCATTCTTCCTTACCAGCTCTCTGGTAGCCAGAGGAAGTAGCAAAGCTTGGATCCTAGGTGCTCTGTTTCAGCGCCCAGCATCTTAGGGATTTATTCAGACTGCACCAGGACCCAGTTTCCACCACGGTGAAAAGGGAATGCCCTGCTCTGAGGAACCAGGTATAGGGGTCACGTTTGGGCAGCAGGTTCTGAAAGCGGCTGACTCTTGCTGTGTTGAGGGGATGCTTTCTGACTCTGAGTGCTCATGAAAGGCAGTGCTGGTTGACTTCAAGAATGCAGGAAGCATCACTGGGGGAGGACAGCATTCTTCTTTTCTTTCTGCCATTTGAATCGATGAAAGGAAATAGCTGGGTCAGGAAAGTGAATGAATAAAAGGTTCATCTGTCTGGCCTTTGCCTTTTTGATGCACCTTTACACTCGCTGTGGTGTTTGGTCCCCTTAAAAGCCCTGCGGGGTATAGACATTGCCATTATCTTGGAATGACTGAGGAGAAAACTGAAGCTTTGAAAAACCAGAGACTTGAAAGAACACAGACAAGGGTTGTGATCCATCCGTGAGAACTGTAGCTCCTGGCATCAACCCCACAGGTTTAGCTGGCATGGGTGGCGGCAAGACCGTGGGCTGGCCCTCGAGAGGTGAGGAAGGCTCACTGTAGTTTCTGTGGAAAGAGGCCGGCTGTGCCCAAAGCCACTGGCCTCACACACAGACAGGCTGTGATGGTCCATCCAGCATCCCAGAGATCCTCTCTCCAGCCTCCTTCCCTTGCACTCCTTCCTAGCCTCGTGTCCATCTGCTATGGTGGCGGCTCTCAGGGAGGATGGAAGGAGTGGGAGGCAGAGAGGAAGGGCCACGCTGTGCAGGCTAGGGATTCAGAGAAGCAGAAGCACAGCATCAGGATAAGCTTCAGCCTGGGGCAGAGAGAACAAATGAGGCCATGATCCCTCTGCCCACTTCCATCATGGCTCCTTTCCATCTTCAGTCAAATAGGAACTTTTCGATGCACTGAGCGTGACACTGGTCCAAGCCTGGTGAGGAAACAAACACATTCCCACTGGCCAGAAACCTCATGTAGAAGAGCATGGGTGTGATCCTTACAACTGGCCTGCCTGAGATTCAGGTGTCCTGCTGACTAGCTGTGTGACCTTGGGCCAGTCACTTACCTCCTCTGAGCCTTTGCTTCCTCATTTGTGCAAAAGGGGCTGATAGCACCTACCATAAAGAGCTGTCATGAGATGCAAGATACTGTACACGAGTGCTTGATTTTTCATCAATGGCTTTCTCACCTATGACGTGATGAGGAAGTTTTTTGGGGTGTTGAGGTTTTGTGAGAACTAATAAGTTAATGTGTGAAAACGGTAGGTGCCACGTGATGAACACTGTGATGTGCTAAGCCACAATCATTAGTATTTTCCTTCCCATTTTATCATCTATCTACCTATCTTCTGTCTATCTATCTCTCTATCTACCTGTCTATTTATCTACCTATCATCTGTCTCTATCAACTGAAGCTCAGACTTTATTTGTATTTCACTAGTTTTCCACTATTGTCCTCTTTTTCTGTACAGGATCCCATCCATCCAGAGAACCATATGCCAGTTAGTCATCATGTCTCCCCAGTCTCCTCTGGGGCATGAAAACTTCTGTCTCTTTGTAGTTTTCATGATGTTAACAGTTTGGAGGAGCATCAGGCAGGTATTTTGTGGAGTGTCTTTGACTGAGAACCTGTATTGTCTGCCATTTTTTTCACTGTTAGACCATGGTTATGGGTTTTGGAGAAGAACACCCAGAAAGAAGTTACTTTTTTCATCACAGCTCCAATTTTATTATTTGTGGGAAGGAATTCTTTGGCTCCTTCTATTCGGGTTCTCCTCCAGACAGAGGGAAGGGACACCCACGAAGATGAAGGCAATGTTCAGCCAGTGGACTTAGACCATGGCCTTGACAGAGAAGCGGTCAAAGGCAGGCAGAGCAGTACCTGCAATTCAGCATGGACTGAACAGCGAGGGAAGGTGAGCAGGGTCCTCTGGGAGACCTCTGATGAGGCTAGAGCTCAAGGAAGGGGGTTTAGGAGGAGCTGAGGGGGAGGGCTTGGCACATGAGCCTCCCTCTCGGCTAGACTGTTCAAAGGACCTTACTAGAAAAACCCCCAGCAAATACTGCACCCCAAGAGCACTGCCAGCCTGAGTCTGGGGTTCAGAAGGTCTCAGGTACATTCAGTCTGTGTCACTCATTGCCTGTGCTGATGGAGCCAAAGACTGTGGACCCTGACATCACTTGAGATCTGCCCTCCATGCCTGGGTGGAGGAGTGGCTCACAGCCTTGGGAGGAAGCCTCTGAGAAAGGAAGGCAGAGTCAGAACAGCATCCCCCAGGCACTGCTGTGCCAGCAAGTGATGGTATCTGGTGGCTCCACTTCCTGAACTGCCAGTGCTGTGCCTACAGATCAAGCTCTGTCTCTTTGTCTATCCTCTTGGTGGCTTTTGTCAGGAATCCCAAAGCTTCACTGGCACAGACACAGCTGGTGGCTTGGAATCGGATATGCAGGTCAGCATAGTAGGGGCGTTAGCTACACACTGGGTCACCCATCCCTCTACTCTGAGCCATCCAGTCTCTTCTCTCTGCCCTGACTCTTCTCTCTCCCTTTCTTTAGGCCAGGAAGCTCTGGGTGCTATCACAAGGCCTTCTGGTTCTAGACAGTGCTCCAAGGCTCTGATTTGTCCCAGGAACTCTGGGGCAGTGGGGAGGTTGGGTAGGCTGAAAAATTGGCCAGGGACTAACCAAGGGACAACTTTAAACACAGTGCTTTTCACTCTAAGCTTGCTTTCTCATTTGTAAAATAATGGGTCAGGGTTATTTTCTGTAGTATTTATTTATTTATTTATTTATATTTTTCTGCAGTGTTGGAATAGAACCCAGGCTTGGTACATGCTAAGCACATGCTGTACCTCTGAGCTGTGTCCTCAGTCCTCACCCTTTTAAAGTTTTATATTAGTTGTGTTAATTTTTAATTTGTTCCACAGATTATATATAATTTATATTTGATAATCCATTAACAACAATCCTTGACAAAAATTGCTCATAAGCTGAATACAGTAGCACACAAGTCAGAAGGATATTAACCTGCCTTCTGTCATATGTGGTGCAAATATATTCTCCCAGTCTATCCTTTGTCTTTTGACTTATGAGAGTATATTTTTCCATACAAGATGTTTTCATTTTATGTAGATACACATGTATATTTTTTAAATCCACAGCTTTGAAGATTTCTGTTTTGTTTTTAAAATCTCCCAAACTCATAAGCTAGATCCCTAAATTTTCTTCTGAAATTTTTTCTCATTTAAACATATACTCTCTTGGCATTTATTTTTGTCAAATTAAGGTAGGCACCAATATTACCTTCCCCTATGAGGATAGCTAAACTCAGCATTTTCAGCTTGTAATCTTGGAGGTTAGGGGCTTCCAAAATGGACCAAGGAGGTGGACCAAAATTGAGGCTGAGGAGGTGCGGAAGAGACCGTAGATTTCCCATCCCTCCAACCATAGAGCTGTTCTGGGTTTATTTCACAAAATAGGCTTCTAGCAAAGATTTGGTTTGGACAAATGTTCTTAGTTCAGTCTAACGAAGTCTGAAACTTTTTCAAATAAGCTCTGGGGCCTTTCCAGTTCTGACATTCTCTGGCTCCACAATGCCTAGAATGGTGACCAATTAGTAAGAAAGAGTAGGCAACAGATCAGTATAACTTCATCCAACGGTGAATGCAGTATTAACTCCCAGGTTGGCTCAATGTGGATATTAGAATAACAGCATTTTAGAGTGAGAAGGGACCTTGGAAATCTAGTCTAGTGCTTCTGGGTCCTGGCTCCCTTTTAGAATCACCTGTAAATATATAAAAAGTCCTGGTGCCATGGACCCTGCCAGACCGTATGATTTAGAGTCCCTAGGGGTAGAACCCAGGCAGTGGTATTTTTAAAAATCTTCTAGTGATTCTAATATGCAGTCAGTGTCAAGAACCACTTCTCTAGTTCAACTCTGTGATTTCAATAGTAAATACACTGAGACTCCAAAAGAAATGAACTATGTATCATATCGCTGGCCAACTGTAGCGTTGGCCCTGGAATCCAAGTTCCTGCTTCTGCTTTTTGAGTTGGCTTCCTTTTTTTTATCAAACCAATCCTTCATCAAACACCATGCCTTGGAGTCTCAGCTGACAAAAGGAAAGGCACCATCTGAATGCTTTGTGTCTTTGGATATGATCAGGTGGAAGATGTTTACTGCATGCAGATCTTGTAGGACCTGAGGAGGGAACAGGGCCATGAAGAGTTAAGAGAAGAGACACAGCAGGACCAATGGTAGATCCTCCAGGAGGAGCCACCTACCGTGATGAGGACGCAGAAGCAGGGAGCATGGGCTGGGCCCAGAAGCCCCCTGCAGGAAGTGGCACTTAACTTGGGCCTACAGATGACTGGAAGAGACTTGGAGAGATGTGACCTAATGCTGGTCACTTCCTTGCAGCAGTATTTGGCCACCCATGTCTCACAGGGGCTCAGGTGGCGGAGAAGGGGCAGCAAGGGGTGAGACAAGAATGCCTCGGTACGGGGCAGAGCTGGCCCAGGCTGGCTTACCACACTCTGACCTTCTTTTTTTCTGCCCTCAGGAATGAGACCGTGCTGCACCAGTTCTGCTGCCCAGCTGCTGATGCCGAGCAGAAGCCCACTTGCTCCGACCTGGCCTCCCAGAGGTGGGACCCAGGGGCCCTTCCTCCCCACTTCCTCCCCCAACCTGCCCGCCTCTCAGCACACAGCCCCGGGGCCTCCTCTGAAGTCTGGTGTGGTTTTGTTTGTTTTTCATCCCCTTTGCCTCGTCCACGGCCATACTACCCTGAACATGCCCCATCTTGTCATCTCCTTTCCCTCTTCCCATCTCTCTTTCCTTCCTCAAGACCCAGATGAGCCATTCCTAACTTTTACAACCATCATGCCCTGTCATTCAAATTCCAAAGCCATGATTCTTCCTTCTAAAGGACCGGTATAAAATACATTTTGGTAAATGCCAAGGGACATGAATTTGATAACAGACATGTCACATGGCAGAGTATTTAAGTTCAGTGAATGCCAGACCTTCCTCTTGCAGCAAAGGTGTACATTTTTCTTTCTAACTTTCTCCTTCTGAGCCAGGGTGACTGGGTTAATTCTGAGGATTTCTCAGCTCTGGCTGAGTTGGCTGACTCCTGGGAAGAAGGGCGGGTCGTTGACAGGCTGGGCTTTGTGTCCTCGTTCTTCAGGGTCATTCCTACTCCTTCTGTCCCCTCTCCTTGCGGGCCCCCTCCTCCATGCCATCCCCTACTGTGGGTGCCCCTTTCTGCATCCTGCCCTGTTTTCTCCATTTCTCCTCCTCCTTCCCCACATGAAGTCCCCACCCTTGAAGTTCCATCTGCTCTCTCTCGCTTTGTTCTCTTCTTTTTCCCACCAAGTTTTTTGCCTCACTTCTGCACATTTCTCTTTTCTTGACTTGTTCTTTACCCCATTTGGATTCTGGCCTGAAATGGAACCTCTCCCCAGTCTCCTGATGTGAGAATGAATTGAGGCAATTTATGTAACTCCCCAGGCCTCAGTTTCCTCATCTGTAGAGTGGGGGATTGATCTGTCTCGACAGTAGCTTTTACATATAATCTCATGACCTTTCAGCTGCTCAGTGAGGCCAGACCAGGCAAGCTATTATCCTTGTCTTATGAGAGAGACGGTTTTGGGTCTAAAGACTCAGGACCTGTCTGTGGTCACACAGTAAGTAGCAATGGCTGCACTTGAACTTGGGGCATTTGGCTCCCAGTGCTCACCATTTTCATGTTTAAGATGTAGCTAGTCTATGATATTTTTCCTTTTAGTCCTTAGAAAGTAACTATATAGTTATCAGAGGTGGTGCCTGCTGACCTAGGAGTAAAGAAAAGCACCCCTGGAAAGCACTGCTAATTGGTTTCCCTTGAGGGGAGATCAGCAGAGGCCAGACGAGGAAGTAGAACTCTGAGGCAGAGACTACGTGGAGGGGGCACATCTTGGGGATCCTCAAATCCAGGGCTGAAGGAGGGATGGGAGCTCCCCACCACTGGTCAGGTGCTGTATTGATGTTTGGGGCGGTCTTTATGCCAAGTTTTGGGCCAGGCCCTGGAACTGTAGAAAAGTAAGGCCCACTTGAAGCCATGGGAATCCCTCATCTAATGGGACATTAGGAGACCCCCAAACTGAAAACAACTCACCTGGAAATTAGAAGGAAGAAGGAAGTGGGAGAGTGAGACAGTAGAAGATAAAAGGAAAGAGTGGAGCTGCAGGAAGGGTAAGGCTGGCAAAGGAGGAGGAGGCAGAAGGGCCCTGGCTCCTTCCCGTGACACACAGCCTGAGTCTCCTTCCTAAAAATGGCAGGGGAGAAGTCTGCCTCCCACCTCATCACTTCAGCTCACCTCACTGAGCGTGCTATGGATGCGAACCAACAGCAGTCTGTGGTGATGTTGGGTAACTCACCCTCAGGAAGCCCAGGCCTGGCAGGGACAGGGGACAGGGGTCTCCCTTGGGTCTGCCATGTTCCTGGTTCTTCCCACCCCTCATCTTCCTCCGCCCTCCCCTGCCTCGGGTAGGAAGGGGTGGGCGGAGCTGGTGTACCCCCACAGCGTCTGAGAAGGTAGGTGATGAGGGGGAGGGGAGGGCTATGAGGAGGGGTCCTAATGGGGCCAGGGCTCCAAAGGACTAGGATTGTTTCCAAGGTTTGGGGTGGATGCCAAGAAATCCATTATTTTAATTCCCCAAATGTCTGTCATTTGTCTTCCCCTTGAAGGTGCGGGCACTGAGGCTGGGGGCTGGAAGTGCTCTAGGGAGGGAGGTGGGAGGTGGGAGAGTTTCTGTAATGTTCCCAGAGGGGCCTGGAAGCCCTGCCCATTACAACTGTCTGTGTGGGGCAGGGGGACTGGTCTCCAAGGGGCCCAAAACTTCAGCTGCTGCTTGTCTCTAGTTCCTGTTATTCCAAGTCATCCTGTCTGTGCGGTCTGTAGTTTCCTAGAGCCTGCTTGCCTGTCCGTTTGTCTGTCTGATGTCGGTGTCCTGGCTTCTCTGGGAGGAGGCTCCTGGATGTTTTCTGGACAGCGCAACAGGGCATGTGTCAATTGGTCTGTGTTCTTAGCTTCCCAGGATATTGGGCCTTAAGTTTTCTCCCACCAGACTCTCAACATCCCTACTCCCAATCTTTCCATGACCTCTTCCCAACCCCTGTTACTTTCCCTAAACAGGTGTCTCACCTCCAGAGAGCGAGGCCCAGACTTCCCAGGGAGTCATCTAGGAGCAAGTGTCGGCTGGGGATTTAGCTCAGTGGTTCTGGTGCCTGCCTCACAAGCTCAAGGTCCTGAGTTCGATCCCCAGTACCCCCCAAAAAACCCAAAAACAACCCATGTAGGAGCAAGTGCCAAGGTCAAGGCCCAGGCCAAGGACCCAGCACAGGAGAGTGGGCACAGAACCTTCTATGTCCCTCTGGTGCTGTGAGGCAAGTCCTGCCCCTCCCTACTGGTCAGACTCCAGCCCAGTCCTCTGAGGACTTCCAGGGATAAGCCAGTCGGTCTCCACACAACCCCAGTTGGGAATCCAGACCCAATCAGCCTGATCTCCAGGTCTTTGGTGTGTGCATGCAGCCAGCTGTGGGAGTTCCCTGCCTGCCTCTGCACTCTGGCTGAGGCCAAGGTCAGCACAAGTATACAATGTGTCTGTCCCTCCCTGGCCCACCCCACGCTGCCAGGCTAAGCAAATGTCCCTTTTCTGAGTCTCTGAGGGCTGCAGTAGCAGCTCACCTACCTGGTCAGCTGTTTTAGTCCAGCCAACCCTAAGCCAGAGGAAACTCAGCTGTGTCCCCAAGACTCACCTTATACTGTATACTTTGAATAATCTCATTTAACTAAGCAAGATGACAAAGTACTACACACAATGATTGCAGTATTATCACTAAACTGTTTAAAAAAGATTCTGATTCACAACCCTGTTAGAAACTAATTTCAAGCTAAAACTCTAGTGAAACAGTGAAAGCAGGTTTTATTTTGTTTGGTGATTTACCCCTACTTTGTGGGTCTGAGAGACTCTCACCGGCTCCTAAAGAGACCTAGAGGTCTCAGTCCTGGAGGTTAGGACAGCTTTACTGGGGACCGGGACAGCCTTCCGCAGCCACCTGCAGAGAAGCCCGCCAGGGAGCAGGGTAGCCCAGAGTGGGAAGACCTAAATGGGGAAAGTCTGGAAGCTTCCGGCGTCTGTGGTGGGGTAGGGGGCTCAGGGAGTTGCATGCAATGGATCAGCCTTGAGCTGGTGAAGGCTCTGAGACTGGATGACCAGGCAGGTTTATCATGGACTTCATGGGCCTGAATCCCCGCACGGGCCTGGGCACTCACCCCCAGGCCTGCCAGGGTAATTGGCCCTCGGGTGGGGCTGGGGGAGGTGGAGCCCCTGCAGCCCTGTGCCAGGCTCTTCCCGGAAGCTGGGGAGCTCATGCTGCCCCCTCCCTGCTGTTAGTTAATGGCAAGGCTTTATTCTGGGGAGCTGAATAGGCTTATAATTGCAGTCCTACTCGGATCTCACTGCTCCCCTTCCTTTTAGGCTCTCAGTCACATTGGAAACAGCTGGCCAGCTGCCTCCTGGGTCCAGCAGAATTGCAGCCCATTTGTCTCTGTGGGTGGTACTGGGGCTATGAGGAGGAAGATTGCCTTCTACTAGAGTGATGGGAAGAGGTGACAGAAGAAAGGGGTGGGCAGGGGACGAAACAGAGCAGCCCCTAGCCTAGTCCTAGGCAGTGAATGAAGGAGGCACCTGAGTCCTGGGAGACACCCTGAGCCCCAGCAGCTTGAACTGACCCCTTCCTTCTGATACTCATTTCTTCCTTCTCATTCACTCACTCTTCCTCCAGGAGAGAAGAGACAATGGTACGTACTGAATATGCCAGGGACACTGCCCCATGGTCTGTGAGACAGATGGCGATGCCCATGTACAGATGAGGAATCTGGGATAGAGAGAGGGTGGAGACTGTGACAAAGGAACCACTACTGGAAGCCAAACCTGAGTCTAGCTCCAAAATGTAACCTCTTTCTCTCGAGCTGCTGTTGGGAGGTTTTAGAGGTTGTTTGTTTTTCTCAAGAGAGATCCTTCTAGCCGTTTCATTTGGTCTTGAATAACATCTGTTTCTTCTGATTATAAGTTATGCGTGCTAGTTGTTGGAAATATGTAAAACACAGAAGTATGAAGAGGAAAATAAAACTTGAATCCAATCATAGAATTAATTACTGTTCATAGTTGAGTGTGCAAGCTTCCAGTGTTTTACTTTTCTGCGCATTGAGTTTTACATTTTCCCACCATAAAAAATATTTTGTAGCCTAGATTTCCCACCTAGTATGTTGTCAGTTTAGAGAGCCCCCCCCACTCCCGCGTGCCCTGTCTCTCCTGGGCCCCACATTGCCCTGGGCACACATGTGGCACTGTCACCTGCTCCCCAGTGGCAAAGCAGGGTCTGCAGAGTAGCACAGGGCTTGGCTGGAAGCTGCATGGCAGGGATGCCCTTCTGAGAACAGCTGTGGGGGACAGCCCGCCTTGGTTCACCTTAGGTTGGCCAGAACATCTATCCGCTCTCTCCCCTAACCCTACCGGCTGGGATGAGCCTGGAGCTCAATCAGTGGACCAGCCAGTGTTTACTCAGCGATTACAGAGCAATTAAATTCCCAATCGATAC